TGAAAGTGCAAACAAACATACCACACATGTATGATGTTCCAACCCCAGTGAACATTTGCTCGCCCAAACTTCTTTTCTTTTTACTGTCTGAAGGGAAGACAAACTCTGCACCCCCCTTGAAACAAAAATTGACATGAAAAGCTTCAGTATAAGAGTTACAACATTGTACAGAATTTCTACTCACCCAGCACTGACAATATGATTGAAAGTAGATGGCAATTAGGAAACAAGATATCTTTAATGCCATGCTCATGTCAGTGTAACAATCAAATAGATTCTGTGTGCCTCACATTTGTTCAGTAATAGATGACAGATGATGACAAAATGTAGTAAAAACCATGGTACCCTAGATGCAGCCCAGTTTGTCTCTGATGTTCTTACAACATTTGAGCACCTTCTGTGATCTGTTACAACTGTACAAACTCATGACAACATGGATACTATTCATTTTGTTTAATAAGATAAAAAGACAAAATGCTGTTCATGATGACATCATTTAAGCATAGATCTGCCCTTTCACCCTCTAAATCTAAAATCCAAACATTATTCTTCAAACAGGTACTGAAAATACTCAAAGTTATCCGGCAGGAATTTTTATCTTGATCTAAAACCAAATTCTCATGACTCATTTAGTGGAAAACTTGTAGAGGCAAGAGGGGAGAATTAAGAATCAGATGTTGTAAGTTAACGGTTAATGAATCATAGGTAAGAACCAATCAAAATACCCATAGGATTCAGCTTAGCATAAAAAGGAACAACCTCTACCTGATTCAGATATGTTGGATCAATATTCAGATATGGTGACAATCCTGCTCCTCTGTTGACTAAATAAATAACATGGAAAGCAATTACATATTGATAAAAAAATCTTGCAAAAATCTGCGAGGGTAAATTCTAAGCAGAGGCCACAACACGTGGGGTAGTAAATAGCAAATACTAAGGTTGCTGAGATGCGGATAACCTTGTCTGAAGGTCTGGGACCGAAACTTGAAAATTTCATCAGTTTGCAGCTCCTTTAATTTTTTAATTGTTGCTTTGCTAGTATTATTGCATGGAACTATTCATTAAAGGAAAATGTTGTACGAAAGCTGAAATTCTCTTTTCTGCATCCATTTTGCTTCTACATTGTATTATTTTCAAACAACAGTCTACATTGTATTATTTTCAAACAGTCTTCATATATACTTGGGCTGTGAGAACAATTCCCACATGATAGCAAGCTTTAAAAGAAATGTGGAACAAAATAGAATGCACTCGACTTTCGTTCTCTCTACCAAAGTTGACGGGATCGTGAGATTGAATAAAAAGTTTACCAAACCCAGAATTCTTCAGGACACCATTTGCCATGGCCACCCAAAGGATGAAGAGAAGGAAGAAAATCAACACTGCCTTGTACTTTGAGACCCATCACTGCATGTCACATGACAAAAATCTCCTATCTCATATTACAATGTGTGAAAGGAAACATATGCAGTGTAACTAAAATCACGACAGCTTTTCCAGAAACTTCACGTCTTATGTAACACTTGTTGAAAGTCATCTCACTAGATTAAAACTTTCAGATACTACCGTAATGTTCAGTATATGTACCCGCAGAGGTTCCAGTAAGACCCAAAATAAATATATAGCATTAAATACCACGATAAACTGAGAAAACTTATCGTCAATTTGAAATTATTTGATCGCGCTTACCCCTTTCAGGGTATTTTTCGTCTCTGTGACGTAACGCACTAATTTAGTTGCATTTTTTAAAAAAATTACTAGCCTGATCTTTCAGTCTTGCATAGTGGAAGTTTTAGCCTCATGCCATTCTATCGTTATCAAATTTAATTCAACTCTTTTGGTCCCATGCAGAAAGTAACTTCATCTACCGTTATTTTCAACCCATATCGCTCGCCGGTTAATTTAATATTACTGCAGAAATATGGTAGGCAAGCAGTAACAAACTCCAATTTGGCAGGCTCAAAAATGACTACGAATTGAAGGAGACAACCATCCACGATCTATATCACCTATTTTCGTAAAATCCACCTCTGTATACCAGCAACAACAAATTTATAACTGAAGTTTAAAGGGAAATTTCGATTTGACAAGGATGTACAAAGGCACATCCTTGCTTGATCGATCCTCTAAGATTCTGTTAAATCCTGTAAGACTGACTCATTTTCTTACCAGAATATCCTGTGCTCGGATCGTACCCTGAAGGTCCACCACCTTGGTCAGCGTAGTTCATAGTTACGATGAAAATCTACAGAAGGAAACGATCGAAGAGATCGTACTAAACTCACTACGCAACCTCGTGCGATCTTTGCCGCGCATGCGTGTACTGTATTACGCAATAGGACGAGAGATCTGGGAACTATATGAATGAAGATGTATGCATATCTTTTTTATTTTAAAATTGATTTTCACATAACGTCTTCAAATTTGAGAACCCAAAAATATAGAGCCACAAAAACTTTTTTCCTCATTAGGCATAAGGGGATCTGGATTTGTATCTATTTTTTAACTTTCAACTTGATAGCATGCTTCGTTTGGAAACAAGCACAGTTTGAAGTTCAGAGTTATGGTGGTTGCACAACATACAGCTCTGATCACATCTGTCAAAAGATATAAATTTATCTAGTAATTTTTAGCTTTTTTAGGGAATTAAGTGTTAGAAATAGTTTTTGTTGGTTTGGTTTAGATAATCAGTTGGCTAGATAACCAAAGTAAGTTCAAGATGTTTTACATTATTTCTGACTGCCATGTTGGTGTACCAAAGATATCCACCAACGTGGTGGCTCCATACTGGGCTCTGTAAATATATGTGAAACATTTCGATGAACATCTTAAGTTTGGCAAAACAAAGAGACCTAAAACTCGGACAAGTGCTTTCTTAACCTATCTCCTATAACATTGGAATTTCTGAACCTTATGTACTGAATTTCTTTCTCTCGATGTGTAACAGTGAAAACGATCAATTATGAAAATTAATTAGTGGGCACCACATAGGCCCCTTTCAGTAAATAGTTAAAAGTACCATTTTCTTATTTATATAAAAAAAGGATGAGTTATTGTCAGAACAATTGTTCAAATCTTTCAAAACCCAATTAACCCTAATCCTGTATATAAAAATATACATTACTATGTCAATTTATTCCAAATAAGTGTCAGTGACATTATGGAAGAAGAACTTCTCAAGTAACTCAGTGTTTACATGAAAGATGGGTAATATACAGCCCTCTATTGATTCACACTTTGTTATAAACCAAAGAAAACCTCAAGGAATAATGTTGAAACAAAGTAATTAAATGATGAGATACTTGTCTTGCAAACTGTTATTTGCACAACAAGGAATTCAGCCCTTCCTCTGTACTACAACTTGTCTGTAGGTCTGTAGATGTGCTTCTTTCTAGTACCATTTTGGTAGATTATCAATCTGTCTATTATTGAAGAGCAGTGAAGACAGGGTTGATCCAAGACTTTGTAGAGGAACACTGCATTGCAGTGTCTGACGGAGCTGTTTGGCAGCATACGCACCAATGAGCACAGAGAAGATAGGTGATGGTGACAAAGGACAGGGATTAACCAACGACCAGACAGGTCACTGCAGGGCTGCTGTTAATCATCCAAGGTCCTGTTTCCAAGTGCAATAAAGAACCACACGTAACTGCCCGATATTTATCTGTCCATCAGCTACCAGAGATTAACCATCACTATCCAACAACCCAATATTGTCGTAAAATATACAGTAATTCCATGGTGGCATGTGATTCCTGCTGATCATCTCAGGGATCTTCTCAATGAAACAAAAAACATCACATAATGCAGTCTTGGATTCTTTTGTTTGTTTTTAGCTGCTTTGCGAAATATTGAAGGAATTGCTATCCATTATTTCCCACACTTTTTCTTGAAGTACGGGAACAATTTCTGCAGAGACAAATATGTGTGTCTCATCCAGATCTTCGATCACAAACTTTTTTCCCAGGGCTACTTTCTCGTCGAGGTGAAGAAGAAACTGCTTCACTGCAGGATCGCTATGAATAGGAAAGAAAAGAAAGATTTAAAAAAATCTCTTAAATTAAACGTTCAAATGTCTTCAATGAATCAGCTAGCACAGACAATTCAAGAGCAATGATGTACAGCAAGCACATCTCTATTATTTATTCCTGCTACTCACACATTGGAAGAAAAAATACACAAGAACAGCCAAAGCCGGGGGCTTAAATAGGGGCTTAAATGGCCTGTTGCTTCTTTGTACTCAATAACCAAGAAGAAAACTTACCATTCCACCAGAACGCCCTTTGTAACGTTCACCATTTCTAATTCGACTTCCCACAGGATATCTCTTTTATCTTCTCATACAACTAACCAAAGCTTGGTAACCGCTATAGAAGTCCCCGAGGGAATTGCTGGTATGGGAGGGGTGGGTGCGGATTGAGATAAGGTCCCCTGCTTATGCAATTATGGTGTAATTTTGCCAGGCCTTAAGTTTCTTTATATCTAACTATAAAACGTGAAAATTAGCTCAGAAAATGAGGCATTCTAAAAGCGTGGGGAACAGAGGATAAAATATAGGAAAAATCAATTCAACCTTACAGAGTACAAATTCTCCCTACAGTTTTATGTTACTTATAGGCAGATAGGTGATGAGATCTTAGTAAATGATGAACTGAGGGTTTTTATAATTCAGATATCCTGTGGTTCAAAATGTCTTCAGGATAACAATTTCAGAGTGCAGTTGTCATAGTTTTGGTTTCCATTGACCCAAATCCGTGGTATTTGATACCAATAAGAAAAATCCAGGTAGGAACAGGCGGAGCAAAATTTGCACCACAGCTGATTTAAAACCAAATTCTTAGTACTGATCCATACACAATGGCAGACTTATAACTTGAGAGAGTTATGTTGCAGATCTTAACAAGGAAGTTGAAAGGTTTTTTCTCTCTCTCCTGGCCAATCTGGAGCCTTCCAGCTACCTCCCTTCATTTATTCCTGCACCCTTCAATTCCCAAGATCTGATCGTTAATTCTCTGCTCTAGCTGCTACACATTTCCTGGTAAATTCATTATGAG